CTCCGCCTCCTTGACTCACCACACAGCTCCTCCTCAGTCTTGCTCTTCACCGCCTCCTCTGCACCCACACGGAGTTCCTCGCATCTCTTCTGCGCAGCCCCCGCAAGCCTCGCCGCACCTCCGTGGCCCTCGCCCACAGCACCACCACGCACACACATTCACATCGCCGCCCACACACACCGACAGCAACAGACACACACAGGCCAAAGGCAGCCGCTGTGCAAACCGTCCACGCAGCACGCACTCCCACAGCAACACCGTCAGTCAGGCAGAGTCGGTCCGCAGCTCAGTGTGCCCACGCAACGCAGTGGCTCTCGCACCACGCGTTGCCATCGCACGGGAGGAGAGAACACCCTACTGGAGGTGCCACACCAACATCACAACAGCCACGCAGCACACAGCAGTGAGGCCAGAAACATAATTGCACGGACAGCACCACCACTCACACAGACGTCACTCCCTGACGCCACACGCACAGATGCACTTGACGCAGCTCAACACCGCAGGCGACAAGAGCAAATGCGGTGAAATGGAGGGAAAACACCACAGCTGCACATCGTCCCAGCCGCACAGGGACACCTGCACTGCTCTGCCGCTCAACGCCACTCACTCACACCTTAGCCGCACCATCACAGCGCCCCTCAGCCAGCAGTCGCGGCACGCAGTCACTTCCACGAGCGCAGCAGCACTGCCTACACAGCAGCAGAGAGAGAGAGAGGAGAGAGACAACGATGCGGAACAGTGCACACACCGCAGGCACAGCAGCAGCAAGACTCCTCGACATTCTTCCACTCTCAGATGTTCAGAACAGACACCCCAACACCCCCGAAACAAAAGAAGAATTAAAACAGTTCTTATCTCTGAAAAGCACTCCACCGCAAAGCCCAAGTGGCGTCAGTGCTCCATCCCGTCACTGCGATGGCGCAGCGGAGAGGCAACAATGAACAAAAACAACGGGGGTGAATTCACCATACGAGCCATCCCCGCAGCAGCGGAAACTTCTTCACAGGCATCTCATTAATCCCGCTGCGGGACCAAATGCATTTCCCCCCACCCACCCCACACACACAAGCACGCATACTTGAGGACACGGAACATGCGGTGGTGCGGGGTCGTGCACTTCCTGTGGAGCCGCACGCGTCCGCCAGCCCAATGGCGCCGCACTGCACACTCCGCCACAGCACCACTCCACCGCTGTGCTACGCAGAGCACCGCAACAATAAAAAAACAACGCTTAAGCAGCGGGTGGCACACAACCCCGTAGAAAAAAGAAGCCCAAACCCAAAACAAAGAGGGGGATGATGTACGCCCAACAACGGACAGCCGCCACGCATTCCTACAAGAGCCAGGGCGAACAAAGCACACACACACACACACACACACACACACACAGCGGGGAGAGCAGCACCACAAAGGCAACCTCCGAACAGCAGCAGACCCACATGCGCATCGTGGCGCAGCACACACACACAAGAGAGGCATTTAGAAGAATACTTCAGAGAAGGCCCTCTCATGTGGGCGGCGCACAATCATGTGCCAAGCAAAGCCCATTACAGCAGTGAGAGAGATGCGCCGTCCTCGTTGGATACAGAGCACAGGGAGTATCCTCCAAGGGGGATTAGGTGGCGCGGGGGAAACAAAAAAGAAAAGAAAATGAAACCAAAAGTAAAGTAAACCAAAACATGTTAGTAAACAATCTCCAGGGCAGCACACACAAGCACAGGGTGTATGCGTCCTCTCCGTCTGCAGACACAGCTCAGCAGACAACCAGGAGGCCCAGCACACCAACAACCACCAGCAGCAACGGTGTACGCACCCACAAAGGACTGACGCTGCTGTCCGCGCTAGCGATGCCCTGCAGGGGGTTGTTTGCATTGGTGTCAGGGGCATTCTTATCAGCGGCATCAGTTTTCCTACTGTTGTCTGCAGCATTGGGACCCTGAGCACTGACTGTGGAGCCGCGTGTCGTGTCATCCTCAGTTCCGGAGGTGCCGCTTCCGCTCGTTGTTGTGATGCCACCCAACTCCTTAGGAGATTCTGAAACACTGTCTTGTGGTCCCTGGGCTTCCGTTGTGCCGGGGGCATGCGTCTCAGTGGTAGATTCAAGAGATACGTCAGTTAGCTGATGATCAGAAGACTTCTCAGAAGTGGAAGTGCTCCTCAGTGAATCCTGTGGGAGACCGTGACCGGGCGCTACTTCCCTGGCCTCCCCTGGCCGTGGAAGTTGGGCAGGATGCGCATCTTCAGGTGAAGCGTCAGGTACCTTCTCTCGGGGTTTAAGAAGCTTCAATGCAACTTCAATGTCCTTGAGCCGTGACTCAGCACTGCTGACGGCGTTCGAAGCTTGTTTAGAAGCCTCGTTGACTGCACTTGAAGCCTTCTCAGCATGTCCCACTGCGGCCGTTGTGAATCCGACAGCTTCTTTAGCAGCCTCCGTTAGTTCCTGGGTTACTGTAGACGGTTTAACGGCAGTCTCATCGTTGACGGATTTGTACGCTTTCTCAGCGCTGTCCATAGCTTTAAAAGCAGCGCCGTCCTTCGTCGCAGCGTTTTTGGTCTCTTCAGCGCTATTCTGGGCTAGTTTCAGCGCAGACAAAACTTCTGATAGGTCCTCAAACGCCTTTTGTGCACGCTCTGCTTCTTCGCTGAGGACTTCATCCACTTCTTCCTGTGCACTGCCAGCCGAGTTCTGCGCTGCCGTGAACAACTGCCCTGCCCTGGTCGTTGCTTCCACTGCTTCCGTAACCTTCTTCCCGATCAAAATAACGCATTTGAACGAAGTGTTCGTCGTGTCCTTGGCGGTATTCACCAAGCCGGCCACACCATCAATATCCGCCAGTTTATTACCCGTCTTTTCCTTCACAGCGGCATTAAGCGCAGTTGCTGCTTGTAACGCCGTTTTTGCTTCAGCTTCGAATTGCACCGTTGCTTGCTTGATTGCTTCCACCTTACTCTTGGCCTCATTCACCGCTTCCTTGGCCTCAAGCGCTTTCCCCTTCGCCTTCTGCAGGGCAACAATCACTTGCTCCTCATCACCGATGCCCTCAGTAGTGGCCGCTGCACAGCCACACACGCAGCACAGCACGACGGCCACCACAAACAACGCGGGACGCACCACCGCCGCCATCATCACAGCCCGAGGCACACTGGTCTACAGAGGGGGAGGGACGCACAGCGGGGTACACAAGCACAGCAGGGGAGAGCAGCAGCGCACCACACAACTCAACGGACAACTAGAGGAGTAACACATCACTCAAACAAAACATTAGTGGCAGAACACAACGAACCACACAAAAACAAAACCCCAACAACCCCAAATGGAAAAAGAAGAAGAAACGTGTCGGCTCCAGAGCCAAGTGGGCTGGTCTGCAGGGGTGCACACACACACAAAGATGAAAAGAGTATCCCCCAGCAGGAGAAACAGTTAGTGGGCGGCGCACAGCAGCGTGCAAAGCAAAGCCCAAGCAAGAAACGAAAAGAAANCCCCCCCCCCCCAAAAAAAAGGAATGAAACAAGCTGCAGCAGCCAAGGGGGTTAGCCTGCAGAGGTGCGCACACACACAGCAGCACACAATGACCACAGAGGCCACTTCACTCAACAGCAGTCGTCACCATCAACAGAAAAAGAAGCCCAGAGTGTCCATTGTTACAGTTTAATTCAAGCTGATGCATCGGCAGTAGCACCTTCGTGTGCGAAGCAAGTAAAAAGATTATAAGAAAAGAGACACAGCCTTCGTTTGGCGGTATTCGGCACAGTAAATACCGCCGAGGGTCGGTGCATCATCACGCACCCAGCGAGCCAGGAACACTGAAAGCAAAACGAAAAAAAGAATTGGTTTATAACGTGGTGCATAATGAACTAGTAGTAATGGCAGCCTGTGATGATCGTTACGCTGCTCCCACAGTTCTCACAACATAGCAATGTGGGCGATTGCTCCCAGAAGCAGCGGTGCCGCACTGACAGCCGCAATCATTGCGCCCGCATCCACATCCTTTTTCGGTGACACTTCGGCAATCAAAGGCTTCGGGGCGGTGGCCAGTATCTCTCCTATGGTGGGCTTCTTTCTATCTTCTGTGGTGAAAGCAGCATCCTGCGAAGGGGTCTCGGTTTCAGCAAAAGAGCTGTCATCCTTGGTATCAGCTTCAACGGTCGGTGCGCTCTGCGCGTTACTTTCAACGGCAGACAGGGATTTGGGTGAAGGTGTCTCCCGCCCTGCCTCGCCCAGATTCCCTCGCGGTAGGTTGTTTTCTGGAAGTGAAGTAGGACCGGCCACGCGTGAGGTAACTGGTTCATTCTCGATGGCAATATTGCTCACAGCTTTCGTCAGAAGTGTCTTTAGACCAGAACCACCGCTGCCCTTTATTGTAGTCGATCCAGTTAGTCCTGGTGCTGAATCGATGCTCGTTGTATCTTGATTTCCAACATCGTGCTTACTTTTCTCAAGAACATATTCCATTTTCTGTTGACGCAGATCGTCTTTAGTCACACGATCACGGCACCCTGATGATAATATTTTGCCAGGTGGCTTTTTTTCCGGGCATTCCTCTTTGTTTTCTGTTTTCGCAGTCTGCCCCGTTGTGTCTGAAGACCCGAATCCATCCGATTGTCCTTCTGTAGGATTGTTTCCATTCACCCTCACTGTTCCATCACCGCTTGGCGTAAGGCTCTCTTTAGACCCGCCTTCGAGCCGGCCGGAGTCCACACCTGATTCTGCTCCTCGGTCGCCCTTCGCAATCAAAGAGATTTCTCGTAGGCTCCCAGTTGTAGCGCACTCACCTTCTAAAGTTTTTTTTGGATCACGGCAGTCCGTAGATACAGTCTTTTGTTCAATAGGTTCTTCGTGCAACTTGGCAGAAGAATCTAATTGACCTTGCTCCATATCACTCTCATTGTCTACATTGTCTCCTTCAGCCGCTACAGCCAGCTGTGCTTCTGTACCCAGAGCCAATCCTGCTGCAGGCTTCCGGTCCTCCGCCGCAGCCCTGCTGCACGCCCAGCACAGCGCGAGGACTAACACAAGAGACACGTGCTGCATCCGCATCGTAGTCGCCGTCAACATCACACGCTGAACTTCTTCCTGTACAAGAGACGTGAGGGAGAGAGAGAATCGCACCCACAGCGGGAAGAGCAGAACCACACAGACCACCTCCCAGCAGCAGCAGCCCAACATGCGCATCGTGGCGCAGCACACAGACAGACACACAAGAGAGACATTTAGAAGAATACTTCGGAGAAGGCTCTCTCATGTAGGCGGCGCACATTCCTGTGCCAAGCAAAGCCAATTACAGCAGTGAGAGAGATGCGCCGTCCTCGTTGGATACAGAGCACAGGGAGTATCCTCCAAGGCGGATTACGTGGCGCGGGGAAAGAAACAGAAACAGAAAGAAAATGAAACAAAGAGTAATCCAAAACATGTTAGTAAACAATCTCCAGGGCAGCACACACAAGCACAGGGTGTATGCGTCCTCTCCGTGTACACACACACAGAGCTCAGCACACAGCCAGGAGGCCCAGCACACCAGCCACCAGCAGCAACGGTGTACGCACCCACGGAGGACTGACGCTGCTGTCCACTCTCCGGGCATCACTCAGGGTGTTGTGTACATTGATGTTGGGAGGTATCAGTGGCGCATCAGCAGCTTGGGAAGCAGCGTTCTCCAGGGATTCTGCGGCTGTCTTCTCCTCCGATGGTACTGATGGCGACTTTTCTGTGTCGGCCGCCGCGGTGCCCGCTTCTTGTTGGTCAGAAGGCTTCTCACCAGTGGAACTACTGCTCAGTGGTTCCTGTTGGAGACTCTGGCCCTGTGCCTCGTCCTGTGACGGTTCCGAAGGTGAAGGTGGCGGAGAATCAGCATCTGAAGGTGAAACCTCAGATTCATTCTCTCGTGTTTTAAGAGCCTGCAATGCAACGTCGATGTCCTTCAGCAATGACTCAGCGCTCTTGACGGCTTTATCAGCGTGTCCAGATACTTCCTTGACAGCAGCTAAAGCTCCATCGGCGCCTTTCACCGCAGCCTTTGTAAGGTCAGCAATTTTTTCTGTTGCATCCTTTAGTTCCTTGGTTACAGATAACGGTTTTGGGGCAGTTATCTCTTTGAGAAAACCAAGCCCCTCATCAGCGCTGTTCATTGCATAAAAAGCGTTGCCCTCTGTCGTCGCAGCCTTCTTTGCTTCTTCAGAACATTTCTGGGCTTGTTTCAGTGCCGTCAGCACTTCTGATAGTTTTACGATTACGTCCGGGGCGCGCTTTGCTTCTTTTGTGGCAACTTTTCCCACATTATCCGAGGCACCGCCAGCCATCCCCTCTGCTTCCGTGAACAACGTTCCTGCTCTAGTCGTTGCTTCCACTGCTTCCGTAGTCTTCTTACAGAGTAAACCAACGGATTCGTGAGACTTCTTAGTAGCGGTCAGGGCGTCATTCGCCAACGTGGCCACATTAGCAGTATCCTTCAGCTCACCATTATCCTTTTCCTTCACTTTCTTATTAAGCTCAGTTGCTGCTTTTGATGCCTTGTCTGCCGCAGTCTTGAAGTTATCCGTTGCTTGCTTGATTTCTACAACCGCGTTCATGGCGTCATTCACCGCATTCTGGGCATCAACCGCCTTCTTCCTCGCATCCTCCAGCTCAACCAACACGCCCCTCCTCTGCTTACTGCCACTCTCAGCAGGGGCCGCTGCACAGCCACCCATGCAGCACAGCGCGACGGCCACCACAAACAACGCGGGACGCCCCACCGCCGCCATCATCACAGCCCGAGGCACACTGGTCTACAGAGG